TGATTTTTCTTAAGATTTGAATGGCTAAAGTCATTATTGACAAAGATACAGCCACTTTAATGAAGAAATCGAGAGAATTTACAAGTCCCGAAAAAAAAATTTTTCGAAATCCGATGTTCTGACATGAGTTTCCTCTACCACGATACGAGTTTCCTATGCGCCTGGACGAGATCTGTCGATTTTTTTAAGACTTGAAGCGCTAAATTCATTACTGACAAAGATACAGCCACTTTAAGTGTAGGAGACGAAAAATGACAAATCCCGAAAAGTTAAAATTTTCAAAATCCGCAGTTCTGACTATATTCTATTATCTGAAAATGCTAATGTGACTGATTGGTTTTGCTCTTTCTATACCTATAAAAATGATCTTACTTTTGTGGCTCATCCGAGTGAGTAGACTTCCGATGGTTAATTTTTCCGATTACGTTTTCCGATTAAATTATTAAAATCCTCACTCACCGGCCGATGCGCAACAGCGGAGTTATATCTGTCACGTAGCTGAGTTGATTCTGTAACAATGAGATATAAAATTTATATTAAAACATTGTTCAACAAAATCAATATTACAAAACACAATTTTTACACGTATCGAACGTTTTGTTATCGTGACGTTCTCATTGAACAATAACCGCTGGTAAAAAGCTCTCGTACAGGAAACAACCGGAGCTTATTGACGAAGTTTACCCTTTAACTTACATATTTCCGAGGACTCGCAATGAGACTCGCTCTCGCCCGTCATAATTCAGAGATGTATTTTGACGAGTACCCACGATTCATAGAGGAAAGTCTCCTATTATGAGATAGCAGGTTTTCAACGTTGAAATTTAATCACAAATCGTTTTTCGCGACGGATTGCGCGATCTAACAATGAATTTTCTACTAAACAGATTTCACTTTTAAGAGCAATAAATTCACAGTGCAAGCAATAGATGATACTCGTTAATTTAACAGAAATTCTCCCAGTGAGAAATGATTCGTCGATCGACGTCGAAATGATGTCGAATCGACGTCAATTCGACGGTGCCGATGTCGATTCGACGTCGTTTCGACGTCGATCGACGAATCATTTCTCACTGGGCTGCTGTCTCATATTAGAAACTTGTCTCATAATAGGGGACTTTTCTCTACAACTCGCGACCAGATAAAAGTCTGACAGTTTATTAAGAATGAAAAGAAATACGTACAAATTGTTCGTCGGGTTCTCATGCGAATAATACGAACGAGCGGGTCGAGTAAACGGAACAACGAAGTAAAACAATTGGCGAAATGAACGTTAACGCGAGAATGATGCGCAAACAATTGTACTCACCACAAAGTTGCTCCGCCGTTGCCCGATGCCTCCTAGACCGCCGCTTCCTCTCGGACTTCTCCATTTTGCACTGGCACAACACGACACTCGCGAAAGAGGAGCTAATTACGATCGCGCGCTCTAATTACCGAAGTAACGCACGACGCGGCACTCCCGACGTTAATCGACGCGGATGTCACTGCGACGAGAACGAGAGACAATCACGCGCGGAAATACGAGCCGAATCTGGGCGAGGTGGCGTCGCGCGAGACGACGGGAACGTTTTGGCGGGAAGGACTCGCGGGGACGCGCGTCGCGTTCGACAGGGCGATTTCGCGCCAACATTTCTCTCTGCGCGCGTTACACGTGAAAAACTCGGACATTACTGCACGCACGAGAAGATACGAATTACAATTAGAGAACTCGGGGTACTCCCGGCGCCCGAGGATACGACGGCGCCGTAGCGACGCCGACCGCGCGTCAGATTTCGACTGGGATTTCCCAGATTTACGCGTCTCGGAGAATTACCGACTCGCGAGGATCGAGTCTACGTCGCGCGGCTGTTAAACTGAACAATGGTAAACTTACTGCGATCGTGCGTACCGTGAAACGCGACGACCATCGCAGGACACCGATCCGCTGCGTGTCCACGGCGCTCCTCGAACGGATCAACATGGCGCCGCTCCCGGCGGCCACTGCGCGGCGCTACGCGAGGCGCGTCACGACGCGACGTATGTCGAATAGCGAAATAGCGAAAACGACGTCTCGCGGCACCCGATTACGCGGAAAATGTTCGCGCACATCGCCCCGTGGCGTACGTACCGGCGGCACGAACGATACTGCGAAGCGCGAAACGACCTCTGACCGTGCGGCGGTTGCCGGTGGCACGGCGGCTCGACGTAAACAATTACCGAGCCGGCGCGAGGGTTTGAAAAACATGAAAACAATCATTCGGCGCGGCTCGGTCGAGCGAGGCGGATGTTCCGTGTGTCCTCGCTCCTCGTAACGCGATTATCTCCTACACAACACGATCGTCTCCTACGAGAGTCGTTAACATTTATCAATCGCGTTTATAAAGCCTCGTCTACATAGAAGTCGTAAAGTCGTAGTCGTAAGAATAGTCGACTATGATTGGTCAATTCTTATGTGTCCGACGAAATTGACCAATCGCAGTCGATTATTCTTACGACTACGACTCGGCGACTCGCATTGTAGACCACGCGTAAGTAATTGTCGCGATCCGTAATCTTATCGTTCTGCGGTAATTTGTCGCGATAAATATCACGCGTAATTTGAAATAGAAATGCAATTTAACTTAGGACACGTATTATCGTACGGTTGGCAACACTGGTACGTGTACACGATGTGCGAGTCCGTCATATTTTTATAAATATTCAAACTACTTCATTTGGTTATAGCAGCGTATTTCTAAAAATTTCTTGAAATATGGAGCAAAGAATGTAAAAGTAATTTCTTGACCGTATGACGATATTCCAGAATACTGCTTTTCCGGCTACGGAAATCTTTCCGGGAATAACGCGCACCTGCCGAGATGGCGTTAGCGCGCACCAACGATTATTTCAAGTTACGCACGTAATCGACATAATTTAACTGTAGAATCAGCAACTTGGAACTTAATCTTACATCCTCGTCGATATCGATAAAACGATAAACAATTCTTCGATAAAAACTTTTTCCCTAAACAATATGTATTTACTTTTTAAAACATACATATAGTATTCTATAAAATAGGCAACAGAAATTTTAGAGGGTATAATGAATGGTGTTTCCTTTAATTTTATTTACTTAAATCTTCATACACTGTTGTATACTATAAAACGAAAGAAATTTCAGAGAACATAATATAAACCGTTAATATAAATAAATAGCTTCCTTTAATTTCAATTAATTAATTTACTTACATTCATATACAACGTAATATTCCATAAAATAGCGAGTTAATTACGATGTTTAATAATCAAGATACACATTTAATTTCATTCCGATACATACATTTTATTAATAATGCACGAAAAGATTCAATCCCGTATACATTCGTCAAGTTAAAAAACAAAATAGCAAATCACGCAACACATCCTGTATTCTCTAGTTAGTAACCTTCGTCTGACCACGTGACGTTGTAGGCAGGATACTTTTTTCTCAATATTTCGACCGATACTTGATGATCAGCTTTGCCAAAACCCTGTGAACAAAATTAGTAATTATTATTAAAGTAATTATTATTAAAATTAGGAAAAATTAGAAAATTCGCCCGTCATTCATGACTTTTACGTGGAAATGGTGAGGTCTTTTCAGTACGCTGAATTAACATATTCGCTAGCATAACGATCTACCCGACAGCAATTATTACGAGAATAGACCTCGCGTTATTTTCAGTTTTACATAAAGTACGCGCTTGACGTCCCCGCAACTGTCACGTTGGCAATGTGCGAAAAAAAGCAAAATAAAAGAAGAAAATAAAGAAAGTGGAAATTAAACTTCCGGTATACTCTTTTAAATGAAATTCTGGTGACAAACTAAAGTGTACAATTTAACGAAAATTAAATGCAAGTGACGGTAAAAAAAGATCTTCAGATGGGCAAAAGTAACTTCTGAGCTTAAAAGAAGACCGATGTAAACGTATTAAATAACGAAAATAAATAAATTTTATAAACAGACAGCTTATGATAATTTTATAATAATTGCGTTTATATTAATATCAGCATCGAATCACGTTGAAACGTGTTTTTTAATCCTCGGCAAGAATCACGGTCGCATGAAATATTTTACGGTTTCTAATTTGCGGAAGGTCGGAAAATCGTTATTGTTATAGCTATTGTTAAAATAATTCAATACGCTTTTCAATATTTCTGGGTGTAATATCGATGCTCTTTCCGCGGGAATTTTATGATATTGCTAATGCTCGTGTTCCCACGGGATCGAGAATAATCTTCAAAATGTCGGAAGTCAAATAAAATACGCGCCCGTAGAGTGGCTGGCGATACAGAGCACCCAGGGTGACGTTAAAATTGCTCTCCTCCGTGCGTCGACGGATTTAGAGAGGGCGGTCCTCTTTAAACCTACAGTAACCTTTCGCCCTTCTATCCCGCTGATCCTTAGTTTTTTTTTTTACATATAGTATACCCTCAAATCTCTCTCTTCTTTAAATCTCGACGCTTTAAAAAATACTTTCTTGTCAGTCTCACACGGCTCTCGCAATATAAAATATTCGTTTCCTAAGACGGATTGTAAATTTCAATTTAAATATATGATCTGGGACGCCGCTTGAAAACATATTCGTTCATTCGTTCGTTCGTTCGTTCGTTTCTTATAACGATATCCGTATAGCATCGCTACTAAGATATTTCCTCTGAAATGGGATGAATGCGCGACATCACGCTGGGGCGTTTATATTTCACGAAACGCGCGGCTTTATCTATCGTATTTCTTGTACAACTTAAGTACACCTTGTAGCGAAGTTTATTTACAAAAGATAACGGTAGCCCGATAGCAGTCTTACCTCCATAAATTGCGACCTACGGTTAGATCGAAATTGTGCAACTCTTTATGCAATAAGCTCGGCATAACATTACAATTTACACTGAACACAATTACTAATGTAGCTCCGACATCAAGAATTTTATCAAAGAATGATAGCGTTAAAGTAGTTCTATTTTAATTAAAAACTGTTCTTCTTTTGTCGAATGAATAAAGCAAAATATTAAATATTCCGGAAATAAAATTCCGACCATTATAAGATGCCAGAGCAATACGATAATCGTCGATATAATATAAAGTTCTTACAAACTTTGTACGAACGGAAGGAGAGAAAATGAAGGAAATGTTGTTGCAAGAGTGCAAAAAATTCGTAGATAAACAACGTAATGCTTGATCTAGCGCACCGCGCCTAGCACATAGTAAAATTAAACGATACCGTATGAAAATAAAAACTTACGGTACCGCCCATAGTTCTCGCAACACGACCGTAATAATTGGCTTATATATACTATTTACGCGAGGTACTATCGTAAGTGTCGCAATATGGCCCGATAAATAAAATCCAGCGATGTTACGGAAGTCGACGAACATTTCCGAGTTTACGTAAATGCAATTGCAATTTTACGCTTGGAGGTCGATCGACCAGCTTCAAGGTTTATAGCATTTATACGCCTCGAATGCCACTCGGATGGCACGAAGTTCTTTTTTTGTTCTTTTTATCACCGAATGCAAAACACCCCTACTTTAATATCGATTTGCTGTTTCATTGAAATAAAGAAGAAACACCTTTTTTTTTGGAAATGTCCCGAGTTGAAATTTAAAGAACGACACGGACGTCAACGCGTCTCGTTTGAATTCTTTTCCTATCGCTGCAACTATTGCGTTTCTTCGATACGAGGGTGGGGAGGGGGAAGGGTAAAGAGACCACTCCGCCCTCTGAAAGAAACTCCTATTTTACACGTACACAATTCTAGTGTCGCTGAGGAAACACGCGCAACTTTCTATTCAATTATGTTTGCGTCAGAGGCACGAATTCTCTCGGACGGACAAATTTAATCTGCTAAAGTTCGACATATGATGCCGCGTGGGCGTGAAACTCGTGACGAGCAACAGTACGGGGTGAAAATGTTTATGCGCCGTTAATCACAGATATTGCGACGCGTATACCTCTGCGTTTGAAGCATTACCTATCGGCATCGGGTAATATCACGGTAATATCACCTCCTAGACATTCATGTCGACCAATTGTCAATCTTACTTCGACAGGCGCAAACATGTAATTGCAACTAATAAGAACGGCGGAAAATTAACAAAACATTTCTGCCGCAGTGTGTCGTAACGAATAATGATCAAAATTAATTGGAAAATATGGAAATGAATCTACTCTCTAAAATCTCCTTTTTGACTCTAGTCTTTTGACTCTAGTCCTACTGTGGTCGTTACGTCGGATGGACGTGGCTTCGAACATAGCTCTCCGAGTGACGCCCAGAGATGGATGTCAAATCCCCTGTTTCATTTTAATGACGTAATAATTGTGAGTAAAAACTTTCACTTTGTTCGTAACTTGACTTGTAATTTCGTGTTGTAATCGATACACTTTTAAGTTGCAATGTCCTCTGAAAACTTGTAGATTATTAAATTCCTTGAAAAGGACCACAGCCCGCACGGTCGAAACGACGAAATTAAATAAACCATCCGCCAGCCTAAGTCGTCTAACAATTCCTTTTATCGTTAATTAACTACTGGCGATTCACATTCTTTCGTTGCTACTCTCTAAAAGTCAATCATTATCATTGAAAACAGTGATTAGTACCGCTGAAAATCGCAGCGGTATACTGTAAATCAGTGACTATTGACTGTTTTCAGTGATAATTCGCCGATTGATTTTTAGAGAGTATATGACTATCGGGAAGCTGCTAAACAACTGTTATTTCGCCATGAGTGGACAGAATGGACTAGATTAAACACTGTATACTGTAGGAGAAATGTTTATTCGCATCTGGTGCGTGAAAAATAAAATACTTTTACGACAGTCGAATCAGGGTCGCGCGGAAGTTGGTTAAATAATAAATATCTCGATGAATTCTGAAACTTACTTGTGAATATCCATAAACTTTAATGGTTTTCTCGTCGGGGTCGTGCTCAATTCTACCACCGCCCACGCAATTCGCCTGTAAACCGGCGTGTTTCTTGATTTGTTCTTCCGCCACGTCGAATATATCAGCTGAAACATAAATAACATAACGCGCGTGATAATAGAATTGGATACAATTTTTAAACCTGCAAACCTTGGATTGTGTTACAAATTACGCAAGTAACATAACGCGGCGTGATAATAGAATTGGATACAATTTTTTAACCCGCAAACCTTGGATTGTGTTACAAATTACTTGCGTAATTCGTAGCACTGGCGTGTGCATGTGTTTTCTGCACTCACGAGTAAATTTGTATTGTTTCTTAAAAATATCTAACGCATATTTCTTAAGCGGCGCTTGTATAACTCAATAAAAAGCTTTTTCAACGATAACTCTTCCAACTCGAATATAAGCGATACAATGTAAAATAATAGATCAATTCACTCGTACGATATAAAAACAGATGTGAGTGATTACATAAGACCGAGAGATAACGATAATGATAATGGTAATGATAATGTAATAAGAACCGAGAACGCTAATTTATAGGTCCGAGCAAGATGTAGATAGCTCAATAATTTTAATCTAGTATGCAAATTCATATACCGTTTTCCACCTGTCCTGCGCGTCCTATTACTTTCGGACATATAACACAGTTTCGTTAGGTGGAATCATTGTCGACAGCAAATTCATGTGTTTTAAATAATAAATATCTCGAGGAATTCTGAAACGTACTTGTGAATATCCATAAACATTAATGGTTTTCTCGATAAACGATAAACTAATTAAAATGCTATATTTTGCATTCAATACAATACCCATCTCTCTTCGTACTGTAAAGATAACATAATGGTTGTTTATTAAGAAAATAATATAATAGACAAAAAGGTTTAATGAATGCAATGATAAACGTTTCGAATTAACTAAATCTTTATCGGTACAATGTGTAAGTCTATAAAATAAATTAATAAAATAAATTAAGTTGAAGTATGATCGTACAACTGTATTCGGCAAAATTGTCGGTGGTGAAACAATTTTTCAGAGAGTCTCCGATCGACTTTCATCTAACGAAGAGACTATACGGCAAATTGAAATCGAAACCCAAACGTCACAGTTTTGCGTCCGCTTATGCACTTATGAATGGAAACTTTCTGTACGTAATGGAACTTTTTAAAATTATTACTATCGGGTTTAAGGAGTAACGTGTTCTCGCCGCTCAACGAAAAAATATGTTCTTCTACTTTATATTTGCTTTATCGCATTGTTTGCTTCAGCTGACTACAGATTCTTGCTATAAAAGTTGTTTCACCACCGACAATTTGCCTAACACAATTATGCAACATAGCTATACGATCTCGATCATAGTGCAACTCATTTATTTTACTTGTTGTACTGATGAAGACTTCAGTTAAATCAACACGTTTACCATTGTATTCATTAAACTGTCTTGTCTATCAAATTATTTTTAATAGACAGCCATTATAACTTGTTATCTCTCAACCTTATTATCACTTATGTACATAAGCAATAAAGCTACTAAAGGGAAGATTTGACAAACATGCAGGAAATATACACGGAATTGCGATCATTCCTGCGTCATTTCGAAGAGAAGCAGAGGCAGCTACGATGTCTCCACCGCTTCCCCTTTCCTTGGGAAAAATTGTCTGATACCGGATACAAGGTACTAATTTAAGTGTGAGCAAACGTTAGTCGCAACTATTGAACCGTTCGAAGAGTCCTAATACGTTCAATTTGCAAATTGCATGCTCCTCGGCAAACGACGTTCGCAATGTGCTTCTCATCTGAAACGCGATCCGCGACGAAAATCCACACGCGCATGCTGGTAAGTATCGGGCGGTCAATCAAGAGCCATTGTGCGTCACCGATGTATCCACCCAACACGGAAAAGTTGAAAGGGAGGACTTAGTATCGATTCGCGGAAAAATCGGGGGAAACAACGTCCGTGCGTGTGGGCGCGGGTCACGTGTAAGAAACGGTCTTTGATACGCACGCCGTAATGCTTTATGCGCATTGTAACGCGTTAAAGTGCATTCCACGTGCGCGAGGTGAGACAGGACGGTAAAGGGAGAATTTTTCCCGATAAAACTGAAACAGAGTGCGAAATGCATCGCGTGAAATGCATAAAAATGCCTCACGCAAAATGCGTAAAAACCTGTCATCGCAGTGCGCGCAGCAGGAATTTCTACTAAATTTATCGACGCGTGCTCGCGCGAAAACTTCCCTTTCCTAGGTCTCTCTCGCTTTGTAAATATGAGACTTTTATTATTGTTCAGTTTTCCTTGAAATGTTATCAATGTAACATAATTATATTAAATAATTAGATTAATTACTTCATATAATTTTGTATTAAATACAATACAATATCGAACATAAATTGTAAATTAATGTAAAATTCATATGCTTTATATAAATATGTATAAATACAGATATCTAAATATAATTTCACATTAAATATGTCAATGTTATGTATTACTTTTAAATGTTACCTCGGCACAGAATACGTCAGCTTCGAAAATCTAACCATACATATTTTAGAAGACACAAATAACGAAGATGAGAACCACTTCTCACCTCTCACGAAAAATGACGAAAATGTGTGAAATATATAACAACTTAAGAGCTGAGGGGATTCGAGAAGTTTGAGACATTTGTTAAATAATGCAGTTTCTGTTTTTTTTTCCTCCCTTCGATCTTTAGAGAGCTTGTCTTTGTCAAGGACAACTCAGATTCAATACCTAATACAGTGCTCGATATTGTTTTATATCGTAAAGTAACTAACGAGATTACAATATACGCCTAACTCTTCAAATTTTCTTCGTTGCATAAAAATTCCTTTTCTCCTATTCGTCTTGCTTCTTTGGTAAATTGAGAATCTTCGCGTTTCTCCTCATTACTTGAATAAGCATGTTTCGTAACGAGCTACGCAACTACTGATTGGATCACGTTATTGCCTCCGGAGATAAACAGTATTCCGGATAAGACATTCTATACAAAATCTATAAAAAAAAATCTCTCGTTTCTATGGAAAAAGAACTCTCGACTTTCAACTAGTCGAAGCAGGATCCGTAAATGAGAATAAAAATTACACGGTCCTTACAGTCCCTTTATCCCTTCGATCCAACATTGGCGAAATAAAATTAATGGCACTTTAATGAACGCACAATTTGTTTTGTCGTTTACTGTAGTATTTACAATAGAAGAATTGTACATCTAAATATTCTCACTCAAATTACCACATCGATAGTAATTTTCTTAGTTATTGCTATTACACAATTACAACAATTAAATGGATTAAAATTTTTACCGTGTTTGTTTTCTGCATAAATAGGCTATTCATCGAAATCTGTATTTGTTAAATAGAAGCTTGGCGGATAACATTAAAGATAAGTATTTATAATTTAGATATAACAAAGAAAAAATTCCTTCGTAATAAGATATAAATAGAAGAAACGAGAATTCCTTCTCGCGTTCCTTCTCTTGGAGTTATATAGATTACTGGCATTTCAGCTGCGACAAATAAAATTTAAAAAAACATGGGTGAATCACGAGTTAGAACAATATAATCTTCTATCGTTAAATATTCATAAAACCGTCGCGAATCATTAGTGGGTTTCCACAACGTGGTCTCGGTGGAAACAAAGGCGGCGAGGGTCATGTATGTCCTGAACAAAAAAAAACAGAGGGACGAGGAAGGATCAGAACAGGCAGTTTTATTCCCGTCCCAGTGTTCATGAGCCTTTATTTCTACGGAAAAGCGCATATATCTTGTCCTTCCGAGTCTATGTGCTGGCCATTAAGAGTCCTCCCTATCTCCCCATTCAAGGACTAAGGACGAGAGATGACGGTAAAAGGACCTACGCGGGGGAGTTTGCTCGGAGGCGTGCGTAAAGGCAACGAGAGAGTAATAGGAGAAATAGTCGGAAACCAACGTGCGGAAATCAGCACAAATGGAGAAACATCTTTGAACGTAGACGGAGAGTGGTTCTGCTTTATTCGATTCGAACGGCTCGCCAAACTGATTTTTGTGCTAAGGAAAATACGCCATCGATTGTCATACCCGAAAAAAAACTACCGAGAGAGACGTCGTCATTGGATCTGAATTATTATCTATATGTCTGAGAAAAGTTATTTCTATTTGTCTCTAAAAATAATGTGGGACGTTTGATAAATGTTGACAGAAAAACACAATAATCAATAATAAGCAAGATGGTCATACATTACTTAACTAATATTTTGAAAAACTTTGAACGAAGACGGAGAGTGGTTCTACTTTATTCGATTCGCACGGCTCGCCAAACTGAGTTTCGTGCTAAGGAAAATACGCCATCGATTGTCATGCCCGAAAAATCTACCAAGAGAGACGTCATCATTGGATCTGAATTATTATCTGAAGACGAAGAATTATTATAAGAATGCTAATTTATTCCATAGTCGCTAGAAACGTTTAATAGGTTTAATAAATTAATTGAGAACGTAACATGTGCATTTTGTACGTGTGAAGTATTTTTATCCGATTCATAATAAATAATTAAATGAGAATTTAATTTAATATAGTTACTCGTAAAGAATTCACAATACTATTTATAAATTGTATTTTATTTTATATGAGAGATAAGCAAGGATAGTATTATCTTTATCAATTTACGGAAATTTATTTCACATACAAAAAGAAGCTTATAAATTATGAGTTTGCTTAACTTTCGCTTCAAAATTTCCTCACGTCGTATTTGAGTTCATTTTTGTGTAGAAACATTTTAAAGCAGATGGTAGGCAGTAAATATGAATGGATTATTTAACAATTAATTAATTAAAATTAATTAATCATATCAGCACAGATTAAATAGACACAACTAAGTTAATTAAATAGATTATATCATATCAAAATCTCTTATCGTCACTCGATGTTTGGTTTAGGCTATTAGCCGCCAGCAGCATCAGGAAGTTTAAGCAGTTTGTATAAGACCTGTCAGTAGAAATTGATATAAGAAATTGCAGTTATAGTTTGATCAAACTGATCCTGCGGTAAATGATATTCAGACAATTTTATTTTGATTATCGCTTTTATAAT